GGAGCTGGTTTCAATACTCAGTAGATGGCTTGTGGTGTAGTGCTGATGTTACGGGACCGGCCAAAAGGTTCAAATGTCAGTCTTTGCCTAGCCACTACTACTAGTTGCCTCATTTTATCCCATTATGATTATAAAAAGAGGGTTTTCAAAAATATCTGTTCATTTTCTTTTTTGACAACCATCTACTATTTGTAAGAAATTCGATACAAATCATATAGCAAAGGCAAAAATACGAGAAAAAATTGTAACAATTTATTGGCTTGCAATTGTCATTTGTTACGCAACATTTGAGATATCTCGAAAACGGTTAGACTAAGGAATAGAATTATATCAATAGTAATAATAAACCGTCTTTTATTAAAAAACAAATTACAGAAAATGCATATTACCTGTAATTAGATTAGTGAGCAGCTTAATGGCGCAGCTTAGCTATCACAGCTATTCTTACCCTTAACCATTTACTGCATAAAAATAGTATGTGGTAGAAAAGTACAGCTGTATATAAAATAAAAGGAGCAAAATGCCCATGAAACTGATTACAACCTAAACAAATGTTAGCATAAAAAAATATAATGCTGGAGAAAAACACATTTAAGAAGCACCATTGAGCGGAAGAGCTAAATGTTTTCTAAAACATATCTAAGATATTGTACAACATGCATGCAAAAAAATGAACTATGAAGGGGCATTGTTAAAGAGGATATGTTAAGGATAGGTCGTTGATGAAAATTATACCTAAAAACTAGTTTTCACGTAAATAAATTGGAGATCCAGAGACAAGTAACTTACGGATAAAGGTTAGGAGATTGTTTTGTACTAAAACTGTCATCTTTAAGCAACCTATTAAAGGATAACGATCCGAAACATGGTCAAATTTTCTTAAGCTAAATATAACTCGTACGCAGTTATTTTGCACAAGAGATATTCTGTTACGACTCGCAACAACTAAACGAGGATAATAAACTAGATTGCCATAATTAAAAATTGATGACACAAAAGATTCACACAACTTTTTTCGCACTTTAAAATTTAGCAAATTTTTGTTCGCATACAGAGTTATTAGATGGATGGCAGTTTTCTGTAAGAGGTTATTTAAATGTTCACGAAGCCGCACGTTTTCATCAATTAACACACCTAGGCACTTGACACTTTCAGAAAAAGGAAGATTCTGATTATTAATACATATACTTAGGGTGGTTTTCACAATTTAACAAACCATTATTCTGCACCAATAGGGTACGAGTACCAAACAGTCCGTTAAATATACCCAATCAGCCTCAAGATCTCTCCGTCAAATTTTTGGCAGCAAATAGCATCAAAGTATTCAAAACAAAACACTGTCAAATATGAAGTGACAGCTTGCCATTGAAATCTTTTCAGTTTATTAAATATTATGAAATTATGTAAAACTGAGCCAAAATTTAAAAAATGCTTGATGACTGAGTAAAATCTATTTGTTCAGATTAGCTGAAGGTTTTTCCATGTTTACTGCAACTTTTGTAATCCATATGTGATTATATCACCTACTGTGTGCTTATAGTTTATCCTATATTTGCAAACTTGCACTTCCAAACCCTTACATGAAAAAGCCTTTTCACTCAAATTTTTGTTAGGTGTTGCATTTCAACACATTCATACACTTCTTTCCAGTTCCTCAACGATATTTTAACCCTACTGGTCCGAAACTGTTCAACAGTTTCAACATTCATACATACAATTGCAGTTGCAGTTTTTTGTTTTAATTTCAGTGTATAATCAGTCGCACCATCGGTGATGGTACATTCAACATAACCACGTATTTAGAGGTTCGTGCAGATTTAACGTGTACACGACGTCATCATTAGGCACTCCTCTGGCGATGTCCGATTGCGTTCAGGTGCCATCTGCAGGTACCTCTTCACCACGGTCAGGAGTTTATACCAGCGCGGCTCTCGTTTTTTTTTTGCTCTAGGCATGGCCATCCTCAATTAATCGCACAAAAAACAAGTCCAAGGCAGAAAAACACACCCGAAGACGAACACCAAAACAAATCTCTACCACAAATTCGTCAACAACTCAAACAAAAACAACAGATGATTCACCGCCTGGCTTTGACCGTAAATCATCGTGGAACACGAGACACCACATAATTATTATAATTACGTCAATACGAGCATAGAACAGTATAGAAAGGGCTATCCAAGGGTAAGGCGAGTTCCGATACCACCCGAATCATGTCAAAAAATGGCTGTGACATCACCAAAACGTTTGACCACCACTGGAAATCACTAGCTAGTTACCATCTGGCGGCGTAACATGTGGAGGACACTGGTGTAGAAACAGCTGATCCTTAAATTCGGTTACGTTAAGTCGTGCATGAGCCCGACATTATTTTTCAGTAATTACTAATAATTTTAGGTCTATGCCTACAGTAATTGCATTATGCACCTCGGAGATGTAGGGATTAACATGTTTTACACATATCGGTGTTTTAGGATGGGGACGACATACTGTTTTGATTGCTTTGAAGAAATTCATTAACCCATGAATTTATAACAAATGATATGATGTAAAGCGAGATGAGGAATATTGGTTGGAATACATTTTATATTCTATTTTCTTGCAAATCCGCACAATTCAACAGGTATGTGTAGCTATAATGATCACATATACACACAGTATATTAAACTTAACAAATTTCGAGATTGCCATGAATTAACAAACGACCAAACCTGCTGCCAAATTTAACAGCTAGAAAATCGACCTATTATTTCTCCCATTCCCATTCGCTGAGGGGATAACGGATGGTCAAATGTACTCCTATAACATAAATCAAAATACATGAAAGTTGTCCTGTTTTCTCTGTACAAAAGCATCATGTTGGAATCAAAAAGTGGTCTTATTTATAATACAGTCGAATTTTGACGATTTTATTCAACATTTTAATAGAAATCACTGATATTCTGAGACCTTTGACAGCTTCCGTCAAATTGCATTTCGATAAGGTATTTTCCTATTGGTCCATAATAATAATGTTGGTGAAATCGGCCCTTTAGAGAAGCTTTGAATCCAGCTCTCCTGTGATTTGGACAAAACATCATGATTAGGTGGTTATTAGCTGACTATGTGCAAGTAGAGTCAATGTCCTCATTAATATCCATAGTAGCAGACTACTGGAGGTTCTCAGGATAAAAGTAAAGCAGTTGAGTGTCATCCGCATATGACTGTAGCTGTGAATTTTGAATGGACTCAGCAATATCGGTTACATAGATTAAAAATAACAAGGGTCCTAAAATTGAGCCCTGGGGCACACCAGAAATAATAAAGTGCTCATTTGACAAAACTGAGACGCGCTGAGAACGGCAGGTTAGGTACGATTTGAAAAACTGCAGTGCTACTTTATGAAAACCATAACATTTTAGCTTAGCACACATCAGTGCGTGATCAATTCTATCAAAGGAGTTGGAGAAATCCAGTGATACTAAGGTGACACACCTTTCTTTTATCAAGGGCCCTGATGATGTTGTCCACTAAATTAAAAAGAGCAGTTGTAGTACTGTATGATTTTCTAAGCCCAGACTGATGTACTGGGAGTAACTCACTTGATTCCAAATAATCTAAGAATTGCAAATGATTTTCTCCAAGATCTTTGACAAAACGCTCAACAGACTGATAGGCCTAAGATCCGAGAAATGGGCAGGTTTCCTGCTCTTAGATATTGGCCTTACTACTGCACTTCTCCAAGATTTAATAAAGTAGCCCTTCTCAAGATACAAACTGACAATGTGTGTCAAGTAAGGTAGTAAATAGGGAGAGACAGCTTGATCATAAAAAGAGATATATCGTCAATACCCTTTGCACTTCACTTAAGGCCACACAGTTTTGACAGTGGTAGGCTCAACCAGAGTTAAGGAAAATCTCCGATTGCTGAACTTGTTATGATCATAAAAATTGAACGTGGCACCGTCGGACTGAGCAGAATGAAACATTGATGCAAAATAATCGTTTATAGCGTTTGGGTCATTAAGGTGAGACGGGATACTTTCAGTTCTTGTCTTTGAATTAAAGCCACTAATATTTATGTTATCTAAAGCTCTTCAAAGTTCATTCGACATATGATGCTCTTGCAAGAAAGATAGGTAACCCGCTTTTTCGCGCCTAATTGACGCAAAAGCAAAATTACGTTTTTCTTTGTAGCTTACACACCTCGATACTATCTTATCGGATTTATATTTTCTAAGTTCAGCATCACGTTCTTTCAGAATAACTTTTAACGGAAAGGTCAACCATGGAGCCTGAAGTTTATGAACTCTCACCGTTCTGAGCGGCGCGTGGATATCAAAAACGTTAAGAATGTTCCTTGTAAGGAAATCAACTTTTTCATCTATGTCATTCAATCTCGCCTTCGCCATGGATGTTGTGACGTCGTGTATTTGTCCATAATTAGAGAAATATAAGTAACACACATCTGTGGCAAATGGATAACTTCCAATGCCAATTATATGTAAAAAAAAAAAAAATCTATGTCATTCAATAATCTCAGGTCATGCCAAACAATTAAGCTTAAATCATCACACAATCCGTTTTCATCAAAGTTTTAAAATCTCGAAAGGTGATGAAAGTTTGCTTTGTTTCTTTGACAGCAATTTCCACCGAGCAACATACAAGACGATGGTCGAAAATTTCTCCAGCATCCAAAACTGCATCAATCAGAATCGATGAAGTTTCCATGATACGAGTGAGTTCTTTAACCATTTGGCCAAAACCATAACACGAAAAGCATCTATTAAGATTATTTTTGGCATTAGATAAATCTGAGTTCATGTCACCTAATATTAAAACGTTATCTTAGTGATAGATGCACAAAGGCAGGACGGAGTTCCATACTTTAGCAAAATCGCCAAAAGACTTGGAGGTCTGTAAATGACACCAATGGAAAATTTCTCTTTATGAAGAATAACCTCTAGCCAGATGCTTTTCATAGCTGTGCTCGTACTAATACCAAAGTCAAGAAGTCTTACCTGATACATAGATTTAATATAAATGCCAATGCCACCTCCTCGTCCTTCTCTATCACTGCGATAAAAATTATACTCTGGAACTTTAACAACTCCAGTACGTATATTGCTAGTCAGCCATATATATATATATATATACAGGTATATATATATATATATATATAACTAATATTTTGGGATAACGTAAGTGCCTTTTTAAAAATATTTATTTCCGAAAATACAGTAGTGGATGGTACGAAAGTTAGATTAAGATTGAATTTTAATTATACAAGTACAATGTTCGTTAGCATGAGTAAAACAGGAAACATATCATGTTGCATTTCAACGGTTGCTAGGCGCTGCGATGATGTGCTGACATGCATTTTCTATTTTCTAGCTTCTACAGGGTAGCCCTATAACTCCTCCACCCCTAGAATGAAGCTTCTCCTGGAAGATTCAGTTTCCTGGAAGGTAGCTCGATTTCTTCTGGATCATTTGTATGTGACTTCCTTGGAATTGGAGCAGGATGTGTATGTGCATTCTTATTCTTCTTGAACTTTCGATAAATAAGTAGAATGCCCAGAGACGTGAATAAAATGTACAGGATAATAGTCCAAGCACTGGGTGTGATATAATCGATTTCTTCAGATTCAATTGGGTTGAATGACTGTACTGGAATATCTTTCACTTTTAAAGTCCTTAGTTCGACTTCAAACTTCGGCTTTTGATTTTCCGAAATTAAAGTGAAATTTGGCGTTTCCATGACTAACGGTTGGCCAAAACTCTTGTCCAAAAATGTAATCGCTTCGTTTCTAAACAAGGTTGTGCAGTTATCTTGTGATATCAAGTATATGCCTGATAAGAACTTTAATTCTATTTGCTTTTGACAATGGAATTCTAGCTTTTCTTGTATTGGAAAAACGGCTAAGTACTGGTTGATCTCTGGTATAAGTTCAATGTGATTTTCGATAATCTTGACTCTGGTAAAATGACAACTGTTGGCGTTCTCATTTTTCAAAATGTTGGCTTCACAGGATATATTTGTACTAACTTCGGCTTGACGAGGACAGTGGTATATATTGCTTTTGGTACAAATGCCACTTAGAGGTTTGATTGATTGTTTATCAATCGATGCCAAAAAGTATTCGAAATTTGGAAAAATCGACATGAATTCTGACCCATATTTTGTAGGTATTGGGTGCATGTAATACAATTCAAATGTATCGTTGAAGTCAATTGGAATAGATAAGAAGTAAATAATTTGATTGAAATCAATCTTACAGTGTACCTTTATAAGTGATTCAAAATCTAACATATTTTCGAATTTGACATCATAAGGAAGCATATTTTTATAATAGGAAGATAATTTCAAAAGTTCCTTATGTAATTCGCTTGGTCTGATAATACTCGGGTGCATAACTCCTAACTTGCAGAATGTAACAGAATTTTCAATATCTTGCAATGTACTGAGAATAAAATTGTAAAGCATTAAAAGTGAGTGATAAATGTCCTTTGCAAAAAGAATATTTTCATTCATAGTGCTTGCATACGCAATTTCGTTCAGTTGCAGTATTTTTGACTTTAATAGATTTTCATTGTGATGAATATTTTGAAGAGTGAAGTTGAAATTTTCGATCAGCTCGTGATTCATAGAATATTGTAATTTTAGTTGATTTTCAATGCTTTTCTCATTGTTCTGCATGTGATTAATAATTTTGTAAATTTTTTCTCCGTCATGTGAATCTAAATTACCTGTTATGAATCTAACTACACTACCAATTCCATTAAATAAACCTCTACGTGATCTATTATGGGCAGTATTATGTATACGAATATTTTCTATTTTTCTTAAAATAGATTGTTGAGTAATGTTAATCATTCTATCATAATCTTCGAAATCTGTACCATACTTATAAATCTTAAGCTTAAAATTATCATATTGGTTATTTAGCTTATTATATTGCTTATATTTATAAATCTTCTAATCTATTATAGTGTACGAGGGTATGCTCGGAAATTTGGAGTTTAGCTGGTCCTAAATTTATTGGTAGTATCCCCAAATTTTGGCTGATATCCTTTATTTGGATGGCTTGTGTGCTGGTGAAGAACCTGTATATGATTATGATTTTTTAGTCTCAGAAACCTTTCTTGGTCTTTTGATGTTTGACAAATGAATTTTATCAGTTGTATTGCCATGTGTTGGCTTAATTTTGGCGGTTTTAAGATTTTTATCTACTTTTGAAATACTTTCAGGCTTATACTTATTACGTGTTTTGCTCTGTTTCTGTTTGTTCTTAACATATACTTTTTCTGAAATAGATGGTAATTGTTCACGATTTTCGTTCAACTTACTAACAACTTTTACCTTATTCTGCTGTAAATCAGAATTTAATTTTTTCGTGCACTTTGTCATATTGATTTCAGAATTTTTGAAATACTTCTGTAATACAGAACAGAATTGTTCGTAAATGGGATCTTCAAAGTAAAGATGATATTTAATTTTGGGTGCAACATATTCCTTAATAAAATTTACCATTTCTTGTTCATAATTGTCTTTAGAAAACTGAATAAGTATTCTCTGCTTATCCTTGAATAATTTTATGATAGAAGGTTCAGCAGGTGAAAAATTTACTTGTGAAATAATGATCTGATTTTTACCATAGTTGATTGGAGTATCAGTTATTGGTATTCCTATAATTGGATGTTCGGGGCTAGAATGAATTGTTTGATCGGTTGATTCTTCAATATATATATAAATTTGGCTATCATTGGCTTCTACTATCATTGATTGACTATCATTCTCATCTAAATTTTGATTCGGCCTAAACACATTAGGTTGCTGTGTTTGTCTAGCATTGCTCTGGCTACGATGATTTTGGTTATGGGGATAATTAGTAATAGGTAAGGGTGGTCTAAACTGTGAGTTTTGGAAATTTTGAGGATTTCGCTTAAATTGATTTGCCTTCGGATGATGTTTTTGACCAAACTTCTGTTTAAATTGATTTTGTTGTACTGCCTCTAACTGAAAATCATTTATAAGCATGTGCAAAGCTTGATTGAGATCTTCTGGGTTTTTTTGTACGCATTAAAGATCCAATAGGTTCCTTCAAACCTCTTAATAAAATTCTTAAAGCCAGATTTCTACAATAGTTATTAACTATTATAGCTTCATTTTCTGGTAAGTGTGATACAGAGTATGAAATTTGTAAGTTTAACAGATGTTGAATCCTATTATAAAATTCAAAAGGGTTTTCGTTTTGATTTGCCTTAATTCTACCATCTCTAAATTCAACGTGAAAAGATCGCGCTTATCTGCATAAGCATTGAGAAGAACATTTTTTAAATCTTGCCAGTTTTTTATGTGAGACGAAGAAATATTAAGTGCTGCGTCGCCTTTTATTTTCGCAAGCAAACTTGACATCAAATATTCGTTTTGAAGGTCCTCTGGATTTGTTGCATTATAAAATTTCGTGACTAATTTCTCTGAAATTTCAAGAAATCTGGGTAATAATTCTGGTTCGCCATGAAAATCAGGAATCATGTGCAAGTATTCCGGTTTTAGGAAAGGTAAATTGTTTGAACTAGTAGTCATTGTGACGTTACTTAATTGATTTTCACTGATAATAGGTAAATTCAGAATTGGTGATCTAAACATTGATCTTGAGAATTGAATATTCGAATTAGCTATTGGTGAGTCAGAATTCGATTCCGCGCTATCACTGCTATCAGAATTAATATTTTCGAGTCCTCTAAAAGACATTAGGTACTTACAGCAATACCACTAGAAGTTCCCTGCCCTGTATGCTGCAGAGTAGAGATTCCGCCGTGGTCCAATATTCCTTTGGTCCTCTGGTCCAATATTCCCTTGGCCCCTTGGTTGACGTCTTCTCACTTGGCTACTCGATCCACCAAGTTGGAATTCCTGTAGATGGTTGAGTCCACGCGACCGACCGAAATTACCGATTCGCGAGACTTTTTTTCGGTTCGTATTTGGTTAATCGTTCGACGAAGGGTGGTTTATAAGCCGTAAACAACCCCCAAATATCCTACTGGCTGCGCCACTAATATTTTGGGATAACGTAAGTGCCTTTTTAAAAATATTTATTTCCGAAAATACAGTAGTGGATGGTACGAAAGTTAGATTAAGACTGAATTTTAATTATACAAGTCCAATGTTCGTTAGCATGAGTAAAACAGGAAACATATCATGTTGCATTTCAACGGTTGCTAGGCGCTGCGATGATGTGCTGACTTGCATTTTCTATTTTCTAGCTTCTACAGGGTAGCCCTATAACTTATATATATATATATATATATATATATATATAAGAAATTTATTCATGATGTCACGTACAATACAAAAATCGAATAGCCAAATTTTGGTAGCTGTCTTTGGTCAACTTTTTGTTCCAATCATACGGGTCGCCACATACGCCTTAGGGTTAGGTATCTTCTGGTGGAATATGTAAATCAATGAAAATATTCTGTGAAAGTACCTAGACAAAACCATGTAATGCATAGCCTTGTAAAATCGCAATGCACAATCAATTGATCCAATAGCACATTCAAATGGTGAAATCCTACCAGCTAGTTGGAATGTATTAATACCCACCCACAAAACAATGAATACTCGACAATCCCATTATGCCATGATACGGCATATACTGACGACTATCTTACAAAGCCCTTATTCCAACACCAGCAGCCAGCATGTGTTGTTCCAGCGTTCCGGAGTATCGATTTTGCTGCTTATGCACACATAAATTGTGAAGGGAAATCCCTCGCAACTGTGCAAAAGCATTTACGGTTTATGGATTGAGTATTAAAAGGTCTGTTGTTAAAGCTGTTCTTCGCTTCATACATAGTAAGCAGCGCTACTTATTAAGGTACGCTGTCCGACTAACTTTGAAGGAACCAGACGATCCAGGGCTTCACATAATACTAAAGAGGAGCTTTACCAAGAAAAGCCAGACAAGGCGAATAAATTAGGGAAATATAGGTTGGTCAATCACCTGCACCGCAGATACAGGGTGGCCAATATATGACTGACTGACTTAAATGGCACGTCATTTTTGATACACGCATTTCAGTAGGTGTCGTCGTAGTAGTTGTTTAAAACACATGTAATAATGAGTAGATTGTTGCAGCGATTCGGAAACTACGACAAGATTTGCGGAAATTTGAATAAACAGGTAAAGTTAAAGACTTGCCAAGGTCGAGCCGTGTTTGAACTGTTCGTACCCCGGAAAATGTCGAGAGTGTAGTGGTATGCCCTGAGACGTCTACCAGATATCGTTCTCAAGAACTGGGTATTCGTCGCACGTCATTATGCACTATTTCAAAAAAAGACTTGCATTTGCGGCCATAAAAAATTCAGTTAACCGAAGAACTACAGCCTAGTGATCATGAAAGTCGCCGACAATAAAGATATGCAATATTGCAGCTTTATACCCAACATAACGATTTTTACAGACAACTGATAATGAGCCATGAAGCCTACTTCGATACGAACGGATTTGTTAATAAGCAGAATTGTCAAATCTGGGCATTAGAAAACCCTCGTGTCTTCCATCAACGATCACTACATCCTCGTCGAGTGACAGTTTGGTGTAGTGTTTGGTATGGAGGTGTCATTAGACCTTACTTATTTGAAGACGCTGGTAATTCTCTTACTGTCAATGGCGAGCGCTACCGTGATATGGTGCAAAACTTTCTGCCTCCTCAAATCGAACAATTTAATCTGCAAAACATGAGGTTCCAGCAGGCTGGAGCAACTTGTCACACAGCTAAGGAAACAATGAATCTTGTGCGAACAATATTTCCGGGACGCTTAGAAGAACAATATTATGGAAGCGATTGAAAATATTTCTCCCGAAACCTACCAAACAGTGATGGAAAATGTAATCAACGGGGCTAAGGGTTGGCGCGGCTTCATACTTTTCATACATAATTTCAAAGTTTCAATAAAATATTAAGAATTTATTTCATTTCACAAATATTCAAGATAGAAACCAGCCAGTTCCTTATTGGCGACCCTGTACATTTGCAGTCGTCCTCTATGTGTAGTTGTTTGTTTGTGTAAATTCAAATACATGCACTATTTAGTTTTATCTCACCACCTCACAGATTTCCTCTTCAACGTGTGAGTTATCCACGTTTATGCTTCTCACTGCCAGTATGACAAGTTGCTTGTCATGGGCGTATGATTTGATTTTACCTCTCGTTAATCTCCCATATACAAAATACAATGTCTACTGTTTTTAGGTTATTGTCCAAAACTGAATGAAAACATCGATCCTCTCTTACATAATTCATGTGTATGTGTGAGTGAGCAGCTGCGTTGAGGATGGGCTTGCGCAGTGTGCAATTCCCCTAGGAAAGCTAAGCTCGGCAAATGGTGTAGCTAAAATGATCTCTTCATTCATTTCGTATGTCACTGACGTAACCGCCAAAATGCGTGTACTTCATTCAGCTCAGTAAGAATGTAGCGGTTTGTAAACATTTACTGTCAGCATGGCAACACTGTGTGGCTACTTTCTCAATAAATGTTTAGCCATTTATGAGTGAAACACCAAACCAAGGATGTAGAGGTGTAGAAAAATTTAGAAAATGAGGTAAATTTTTTGGAGAAATGTTACATGTGCATCACGGAATAATTCAAAAAGCACTGCTCGGATTTGGTTTAAATTTTTGCACTACTATGCAAGAACGAAAAAACCTTGTAGTTTTCGAAAATCGATCCAGTGGCGGCGTAGAAAAAGTCCAATATCGAAAAAAATCATAGTTGCTCAAACTTTGTTTCTCGAAGTTTTAGAGGATCCTAATCATTTTCATCTATTTCAATTTTCTTAGGTCAGTCAATTAGCCCGCTTTACTGTGCTACTTTTGCGCACTCATAAGACATATTTCGCACATCATAGATCTGCCCTTAAAACTTGGAAAAATATTTTCTGCAGACGGTCGCAAACATTTTTCATCTTTGGTACTCGATCCCAGTGACTTATAAATGAAGCTCCCGTGTTCGGGCAGGCTCATTGCTGCAATCTGAGCATTGCTTTCCATGAAAGGCTCAAATAGTACATTGCTGATTTTGATAAAACCTACGTCTTTTTGGTCATTGTACATGGAAAATTGTACTGTTAGTTGTTTCGAAGGTATGGGAAGAGTCAATCCACTTGACATCATTTTTAAAAGTTTTGGTCAGTCCGTCACAGACGACCCACCGTCATGTTGATGTTCCCATTTCACAGTTAACGGATCACTAGTTCCCCTGTCTCCCCTCCAGGTGCTTTCGTTGAGTCACATACCTAGACCGTACTGATAATTGTGAATAAGAATAAAACAGTACTGTACACGATTGGTTCTCTGTTGTTAAGGGCGATGAAAGCCATATTATTAGTATACTTACATGTATTACTGGAAAGAAACGAAATGACCTAGCAACTGTTCTAGCTCAGGTTGAGTATTATGGCCATAAAAAATTTAAATGGAAACAGCAACGTTAGAGCCGTAAATCTCATACACCATTTGTGAACGTGACTAAATTAAGGATAAATTACAAACGGTCTGAATTGAAATGTTTCCTTCAACTCGGTTGATGTCTTCTCTTGATGAAGGACCGCAAATGAGAATTCAGAGGCAAACACCCCTGACGACCGTCGACAGGAGCAATGAACTCAATTATGCTTTCTGTAAAGCGGAATTTACATAAATGTCAATGCTCACATGCCAAATTTTACGTTTTCTCACATGATCAGGACAAAGACGCGGAAAGTTAAAACAGTA